AGATGCCATAGTGACAAATCTCGTTATTCTAGTATGACATCAAATCTCGCTGAGTCATTGAATAATGTCAATAATAGTGCTAGGGAGTTTCCTGTTGCAAAGCTTGTTGAATTCATTCGTGATAGGATGCAGCTGTGGTTTCATGAACGGTCAGAAATTGCTAGTTCCACTCGCACCCCTCTTCCTAAGAAACGTGAGGGTGTCCTAATTCAAATGCAACGTGAAGCTTTTCGTATGAAGGTATGCTTTTCAGAAATTAGTCATTCTTATATTATTGCTTATGGAGAGTGATGTTTAAGTTGTTTCCATTCTATATTTTTGTATAAAACACAACATACTTGGTTGGGCACTCTAGGCCTTCTATTTATTTCTTTAATATTGTGGCAATCTACATTACAACTCTTTGTAATACTCATTACCACATTACATACTGTGACACTTTACATTACAAGTGTTCGTAATGTAAAGTTTAAGTTTTTTATTACCGAAGTGTTCGCCATTTACATTACAACTCTTTGTAATACTCATTACCACATTACATACTGTGACACTTTACACTACAAGTGTTCGTAATATATAACCACTGAATATTTTTATGTAGGTAAATCCATCATGTCCATATGAGTTTGAAGTTATTGATTTTCATTCGCGCTCTTACGTGGTCAATTTAAAGGACAAAACCTGCACATGTTGTGAATTCCAACTTGATCAATTTGTTTGCGTTCATGCTGTGGCTGCTATTGGGAGACGTCCCGGCTTATCTTGTTATGATTTTATCTCTCCTTTCTACAAAATTGAGGCGTTAGTATGTACATATGCTGGTATAATCCACCCAATTGGTGATGTGTCTTCATGGGATGTTCCTCAATAGACTTTGTCAATAATTTGCAAACCTCCACCTTGTGACAAACGCCCTTCAGGAAGGCCTAAGAAGAGGCGCTACCTGTCTATTGGAGAGGGCAAGAAGATCCAAACAATATTTGATATCACTTTATGTTCCATTACATGACTTTTTTTTAGTATGGTTTAATTGTGTTAAAATTGCTTCAACTAAGTTGCAATGCACTTTTAAAATGTCCTTCCATGTTGATACTTTTATTGCATAATTTCGTTTCACTTGAACTAGCATTGTCATTCAACCCTGTGTACAGTGCCACACATTGGCATATACATGACCAACTTCAAAGACTTATAAATTGCTGTGTAAATGAGAAAACTAAAACTTCATATTGCAAATGGCCACGTTATGTCAGCAATAATGCAACAACACTTGTTAAAAAAAGCACTTAATAGCGTCAACCATAGCTCAAAACATTCATGGCCACGTGACAATCTTTGTCATGTAACATATTTGTCTTTTAATATACAAAAAACATAATTCACGACCCCGAGTTTCACAGCATAAACCTAAACATTACCACAAAACATTCCAATGGCAGATCATAAACTAGTTTTGTTTTTCACCACTGATTTTCAAACTGCTTTTTTGGACTCAGCATACTTGTACAACTCTGTGGCCATCTTCACTCTATAAGCAGCCATCTCTTCCGTGCACACCTGGTTGATTTTTCTGTCCATCATTAGATATTTTGCAATCTTCAACACAAACATGCCATAGTTTCCCCTACACAAGTTTGAGAACAATTAGTAATCAATGTATTTACATTTTATAAAGACTTACATGTGCATGCTTGTTAATGTTTCACGTGTAGTTAAAACTTACTGATCTGTTTGTTGTGGACAATTTAGAGCTTCATTTATGCGGATTTCCTGATTTCCCATTGGTCCACTAGGGTGCTGTTTATAGACACCACATGCATCCAGGAGCTTAGGAAGTAGGTGTTTGATGCACGCGATGTAAGCTGCCATGTCTTTGAGTCCTGTTGACTTCCCTCTCATTGAATTATACACCCATATCGTCTTCCCTTCAATCTCTAATACTAGCAAAATCCAATGTTTGCCAGTATTCAAGGGTATGTACACAAAATCTGCATCTGCCCACTTAATTGCACACCTTCTTACTTTACCCAATATCTCACTTGTTAGGTTTTTAATGCTTCCAACATCGCGTGCAGTTTTCCCTTTTGCACCAACTTTGTCATGGTGTTTCTTTAGGGCATCCATGAAGAACGGTGTTGTTGTTCCATACTTTTGGCTAAGCTTGTAGTGGAACCTTTTCACTTCCAAATAGAACATTCCAACCTCAATGTGCTTTAACAAATAATGAAAACATGCATGAAGTTAGTTTTATCAACACCTTGCAAATCAAAATCATCATAAAAATGTTATATATTTCTTAC